TTAGGAATTTGCTAAGGCACCCAACACCCACAATTCCTAAAGGCAGACAAACCCTCCTTTACTTTGGCAAAAAATTTAGCAGTGCTGGTTGGACTTTGCGAAAAGTACCCAGTCCCGTGCTATCTGCTAGAGTATTCGTGATTTCGCCGGCATCGCCAGTGAGAGGCTAAGTAAACTGCGAACAAACAAAAGACCACACCACCTCGGCCTCCATGAATACAAAACTATTTAATAGCCTGTCCGATAAAGATCTGGTTAGTAGACAGAATTTAGCATGAGACTAGCCATTTGGAAATGAAGCACATCAGCCCACTCAAAAGATTCTGAGAAAGATAGGACGAGAGTTATTTTCAATGATAACAATTAAGGTTTTTTATTAGTTTGTTAATCTTTAGACTGATTTAGTCAAACATGAAATGACCACTCCGCACAAGCGCGGTAGACGCCAATTATATTTGGTTAGGTCCAGGAGATGTTTTAATGCGTATAGAATTATTTAAAACAAGATGGAGGGGCAAAATAGATAACCTAAAGCATCATTATACACTTGAAGTAAATGGCAGGAACTAGCAGAGGAACAGATAAGAGTATTATAAAAAGCCTTCAGGGAGGGATAAGCCCAGCTAATTAAAATTTCAGCCCGCATATGGTAAGACTGTGGATTGGATGTTATTTTATGCACTAAGATAAAAATTTTATGAGAACAAATTTCGATTTAGACCGGCCGGTAAGCTGAGTAATCAAGGGTATTTCGAAAAATAAGCGGAAATGACATTTAGTTCTAGGCTGATGGCTTCATTTGAGAAGAAAACCATCGAAGCAAGATGAGTGTAGTTCTTAAAACTCAAGGATAAAAAACGGAAACTGCGTACAGACAAACGAGATAACACAACCATGGATCATTATATATTTAAATTAAGTTAAAGCTCGGAATAAAGTATGAAAGACATGTTATTTATGACTGTCTTGACCTATGGACCGCCTGAGTAAGCATTAATTTCCCAACTGTTTGGCCAGTCATTTGGGAAAGTCCTCCGCAATAGAGATTTAGTTGAGCTGAAATCAAGGCCATGTCAAGCCTAATGGGCGCTAATTCCCGATTTCGTTGTTCAGCAGGAATCTGAAAAAAAATAATTAGTCGTTGAGCATGAAAAATAATTAAATAAAACAGAAAAAAACCTTAGTTTGCCCCTGGTACTTCGACAAACTGCGCTGGTATATATATTGAAAATCGTTAAGGGTTTCCAAACCCAAAAGAACAGATCTCAATTGCTGCTCTAAACTTGAAGCCATACTCAGATCTAGGCCAACGAACATAGATGAGCTTGAGGAATCAGGATTTATTGCTGGCGTTAAATTAATCGCAGTAGGTTGAGCTTTGCGTCCGTAACTAGTTTTTGACTCGTCAATATCATTTAGCAGAATATCAACCAACTTAGAATTATTAACAACAACAGGTATCTCATCGAACAATCGAGTAAAGTTAGTTCTTCCAGAAGAAGCGGCGGCCTCCTAAAAAGCAAAAGCTTGAATAGGCCTTGAACAAGGGTAAAATCAAAAGTTTATATTGTTATACTCACAGCTTCCCAAGGTATATCAGCTCCCTAGGAAATAAGTACAT